TTGGTTCAAAAATGTATTTTGTTTATATTAATATCATACAGGAAGGTATAGAGATAGTGAAAAGATGGATTAAACGTGATCAAACTGTAAACATGATGTTGAAATCTCATAGACAGATATTATTTTCTGCTGGATTACCAAAGCCCTATGAATCATCCAATGTAACTATGTTATTGACAGGTCGAGAAGGCCTAGACGAAGCACAGATTCGTTTGATATATAATACCTCACGTACACACAATGTTATTAAGTAGGGATTAAGAACGTTTTAAATATCGCGATAAATATCAATGAACAATGATCGCAAAACAAGTCGATCGTCATGATAGTGATGACCTGGCATACGGTTTGAATGTTTTTACTGAGATTTCCGAAATTTTCCCCCCGTTATCTCAAAACAGTTGACGAAAGAACACAATCTATTGTTCCTAGGGCTAATCCGCAATAATTATAGTGAAGTAACTCGATAAGGTCAGAAGCAAATCAGAGATTTTATCTTGACTAAGACCTACGTTGAAGAAGAAAACAAAACTATTACAAAAAAATGTATTCATAATATATTGAACATTTTGTAAAATAAATCCCTTTTAGCTTAATGTGTGCTCCACAGAACATTAATTAAACAATAACCTTACTCTTTTGTTTTAATTACACGATCGAAATAGACTTCCGAAAAATCAACCGAAAAAATTAAATATCCTTTATCACCTATTGAAATATGCGAACATAATTATCATTTCGTAAACTGAACATGACTTCAATGGGATGTAGGCCTACGAGTACGATAGCGCATTCAAATAAGCCTTGAGTTGATTTCTTCTGGGTCTTTTCTTGTAGCTTGTTGAATGAACCCGGGACCTACCGGTTACGAGACCACTGCTCTACCACTGAGCCATCGCGCGTGCAGTGACTGAGGTATATCGCGTGCAGCATTTGAGGTTGTAAATTTAGGAAGTCAGACATGCTGCCGGCATTGTCACCGTGGAAACTAAATAGGAAATTATATTTTAAGGACCGAAACTGGAGCAAAAATAGCACATGGGCTTAGAAATTATCAAGACAGGGAGAAAAGGAGGGAGAGAGAGCGAGGGAGAGAGAGGAGAGAGAGAGAGAGAGAGGAAGAGAGAGAGAGAGAGAGAGAGAGGTGTATTAAGAGAGGGGAATGTAACAGAAAATGCTCAATTTTCATTTCATTGTCATCTGGAAAAAAAGTATAATGCTGACCACTAAATTGCATTCTAAAAATCGAAAGCGAAATTCATATTTTCATGTTCTTATTCCATGACGGAAAACGCCATGGGAGAATGACAAATTAATGCGGTCAAAACCATGAACAAAATCATACATAATATACCCAGAGTATTGTATGTCTCGAAAAAGGGACAAATCTGAATTAATGTTAATTTCAATTTATAATCACATTTCATAGACGCACCTAAGTAGCAAACCTCAAAGCAGTAAACAATTTCTTCAAACACTAAAAGAAAAGTTTCTTACGCAGAGCAAACGTCTTCCCGTTCTGTTTAAGTTATTAAATCGCAAAGACTTTCGAAAATAAATAGGCTTATACGGTAACTTGATTAGCCTTGTTCATGAAATTATTGAAATGTGCGAAAAATAACAATAGCGTGATAAGCTTCAATTGGTTATTGAAATTGTCCTTGAGTTGATTTCTAGAAAATCTTTGCGAGTAATACAATTTTTAAACATTAAAACACTTTCCCTCGATGAAGAGGGAAATGGTACCTTTAAGAAGAGCCGACACAGATTAGAATTCATGGCCATCTCTGATTAATGCTCAAGTATCATGTCAATCAATGTTATTTATGTCTATTTCCGACCTCCGTCACCATGACAACCCGCGGACATCTGAGGATAAAGAAGGAACTCATCAATGTCAGTATGTAGGGCGATGGTATGGGGTTTCGAATGAACGAATGATGTCATATTATGTAGGCAAAGGCGTATCCCGCAGGGTTGAAACATCCCCGTCCCTAATTTCAAAAATATGTATGTTTTCAAGGTTGGATTAGTGGGTAGAAAGGTCGATATAGATCTGGATGAATAGTTAGATAGGCAGACAGATAGGAAGACAGATAGATAATATAAAGGTAGATAGGTAAATATAGATAGGCTGATAGAAAGATAGTTCGGCTAAAAGATAACACTATAAAAAAAAAAGGTAAAAGTTACAACTTAATACATCATTACTGAATATATTTCATCAATATTTAGTAGGCATATATCGGTTGCATGTCGTACCTTTCATTAAGAAAATGAATTCCACACAAAATTGATTGTTGGAGGCTCATCATTTTTTTTTTCCTTCATTTTTCTTTGCAGTCTTACTGTAGGCCTATAGGCTCATCGTCAACACAAGCACTGTACATCAACGATACGGTAGGTGGCGCTCGTACTGATAAATTCGCGGTCAAATTCGGAGAAAAGACAAGTGGTTATATTTTCATTTTGTTTAACCACTATTCTGTTTCTTTATTAATTGTACAATCCGTCTTATACCCCCCCCCCCCCCAAATCTATCTCTCTCTCTCTCACTCTCTCTCTCTCTCTCTCTCTCTCTCTCTCTCTCTCACACATCTTATAATAAACGCACAAACAACTCACTTGAAAGCTCGAGATGTTATTTAATCTGGAGGGGAAAAAATATCAAAACGATTCATGTTTCTTATATTATTTATTAATCTAAACTTCTCACAGTACTGAGACACAATATATATAATCCGGAGTATATACAAAGTATAACTTTCTCAGTATTTCTGCTACGTCTTTATCAACAAATTTACAACAAAAAATGCAAACAGAAATCGTTTGAAAAAAAATTGTTAATCCAAACAAAATATAAGACACAATTGAGGAACATAATATTTTGATGGTATATTTTTCTTGCAAGTTACACAAGTAAACAATAAATACAATTAGAAACAAATAAGAGATTGAATATGCTTATCAAATTATTATCTCATTAAAAAAAAATTCAAAGTAACATGTTCATTAGTAATTTAGAATGAATTGTTAGTACACAAATCATATCATAACGCTAGATATTTGTTTGGAAATACATATGTAATTTGATAATTGGCAGTATACAATATCTACTTCACATTAAACAAACCAGCAGGTATTGATTATATATTCTACTGGATATCAATTCAAACACAATATTTGGGCCTTTAAATCTATTACCCACAAAGAGGTAGTTTTAATTCTGTTTAGATTTATGCAGAATAAGTTCCTAGATACAGACAACAGCATCACACTTGCCCCTAAGTTTAAAAAAAAAAATCATTTCAATAGTTTATACAGTTTTTGAACCACCTCCCTTCACTATGAATATGGCAGACAAAGAAAGCGGACAAAATATCCAGTTCCTCAGGTAGACAAAGGAACATCCCTTCACTGCTATTATGTAAAAAGGTGAATATGCATGTGACACCTGTTCTACAAATTTTTACATAATAGCAGTGAAGGGATGTTTCTTTGTCTACTTGAGGAACTGTATATTTTGTCCGCTTTCTTTGTCAGTCATGTTCATAATGCTTATTGCATAATCATGATATTAATAGTGTATCACATGTTGAAATTTGATTGTTGCTCACAATAAAAACCACCTAAGGCAACAATATTTAGTTACTCCAACAAAACACATTTCAGTCTTGATCACATATCAAACACTAAATGGATGTTACTTTATCTAGGAGGTGCAGTGGTTGCATGGTAAGACCATTTAATTACAGATGGAAAATTCATGGGTTTGGACCCTTTTTGTAGTCGTACTAAAAGCACTTTGATGACAATTCTTCTCTCTACCCAGGTGAACAAAATGGTACACTGGTAGGATTCTAATGCCTGGAAAGTTTAAATAATTTAAATGGGTGCCTGTGAATTTGAGTATGCCTGGAATGTTTCTAAAGCGAAGCACTGTTTGTGTTGTAGGTATAAAATGATAATTGAATTCAATGACAAGTTGAAAGATAAATTGTTTAAAAAATAAACTCTGAGAACAGACAGTTGAAATTTCAAGAAAATTAAGAAAAATAAGAAAACTTATTTAAAACAAATAAATAACACCAACAAACAACAATAAGGGAAGTAATTTTTATGTTGAAAGCACAAAACTGAAATTGATTTGAATGACAAGTTAAAAGATAAACTATAGGAAAAATAAACTCTGAGAACAGTCACTTCTAATTTGAGGAAAATTAAGAGGAATAATAGAAAAATCATGAAAACAAATAAGTAAAATTATAAAACCTCAAAACAACACAAAAATCATTTCATTTTCTAAAGCCTTCTCATCCTTTGGAATGGCCAGTGATCAAAGATTTGAATAAATCATCAAATAAATCAGTAACTTCCGCAGATTTGTTTAAAGCATATCCTAAGCACATGTCTGTATCACTGTAATTATTTATTTTAAAAATATATATACATAGATATAATTATTATATCAAATTCAGACAGAATATTGATACAATTTACATGCTCATCAAAATCACTGGGTATCAAAATAGGATTACAGATAATAATAATAATAATAATATTTAATTTTTATAATATTTCACATCACTGTTTACATTTTCCAATATTTAACATTAAAGTTATATACATGGATATACATTTCAGTTGCATATATTCACCCCTGCAATAGAATTTTTTCTTTTCTTTTTGTCACACATAGAAAAATGGATATTAATGCTATATTCATATATTGACATGCAACTAGTATTTGCGTGCAAAATTTATGTGCATTAGTTTTGCTGCTGCTGCTTCAAGCAAAATATTTTTGGTCAACTAAAAGAAAGAAAAAAAATCTTCATAATACAGTACATTATACACTGAAGCAATGGACGTGAATTAATCTTTTCACTTACATGCAGGTTCCTGCTACATTAATGCATTAATTCGCTTTACATCATCAAAAATAAAGCTATCAGTATTGCAACGTCATATCTTATTCTTTATAACACAGTTTTGCAGTATTTTAAATGTATACATCATTTTTCTACAATGGAGTTGTGTTGAGGTTCACTTTATCTTTCTTTTATACTTTTTATCTCTCTTTTATACTTTTTATCTCTCTATGTATATCTATCTCTCCATGTTTATCAGCTAGTCTAAATTACAAATATTTCGTTCAGCAAAAACACACTTTTCAACAGCCTATTACGTATTTCAACTCTGGTCCTATCTCTACCTTCTTTATAATATAAGCATGTTAATAAAGTCAGCACATTACACTATTTCATTCTTTCGCAAACCTTGTACATGTACATTACAATTCTATATTTCAAAAACCATAATTTCCATTACTACATGTATACATGTATGTACCTTTAACTCATATTTTCCTACTGTAAATGTATCGTACAAATTCTGTCTTACTTACCAGTTGAAGAAGCAAGTATACCTGCAATTACCCATGTAAGAGCAGACTGCACATTTTCATTCACTTGAAATTCTATCTTTAAACAACAAAGGGACTGTCCAGAAAATATATTACATTAGATTAGTTTTGTTTTTTAGTCAAACAATTGAAAACATCCATTTTATCAAAGCTGCATTATCAAGCAAATCAATTGGCAGTTGTCATTTTAATTTGGAATACACAAGGTAGATACAAGACAATTTTTAATTCAATACCACTATCAACAATAACTGAAATTAACCACGTTCTCAATTAAATCATAGACATCTAGTGAATGTCATGTTAGCATAAATTTCCTAACATAATTACTAGAGTGTCCATATTTTAACAGTTGCATTGTTTAAGCTCTAAATGTTCTACTTTGTACAGATATAACACAGGTGCCTTGACAAAGAAAGTGCAATTTCAATTCTGCTCTATACCGAACAGGACACATTACAAAGTCGTTGCTGTATGTTACATGATATGCAGCTCAGGCAAGAAGATGTGCTCTTATGTTTTTTACAAAAATCTACAATACACAGATGAAGTAGTAAAACGTAAAAAACAAAAACAATCAATAATAAAGAAAAATCTTGACAAAATCAATAGTTGATACGTATACTTTGTACGTATCACCTAACAAAATGATTATTATGAAATGTGTAAATTTCTCCTGGAATATTCCCCCCTCTTTTTTTTATTTTGTCAATGAAATGTTTAAAAATGGTTATAACTACCCTGAGGACAGTATGAAATATTGCTAAAGAAATCTACTTTTAACAAACTGCAGCATCTGTATTTACCTAAGATATGTCTTATTTTTGCAATAAGGAATGAAAATATAATATACTCAAATAAAAATGGATCCTGATAGTATAGCTAAATTCTTTGGGAATCATCAGGGGGGTGTTTCACAAAGATCCTAAGTCGAACTTAACTCTAAGTTAGACTTAAAAAATTATGGAGAGCCATTTGTAGCCTTAAAATTGAATATTTCCAAAAGCAAAAATTGAAGTTTTTTTAGACTTTTCATAAATTCCACATCAAGAACATGACATGTCCTTGATAATAGAAAATATGAATGATTTGAATCAAAATTTTATGTCTTTTGAAATAACTTTTACAAAATATTTTCAATGATGCTAACGGCTTTCCATAATTTTTAAGTCTAACTTTGGATCTTTGTGAAACACCCCCCTGGATCAAAACTACTTGATGTCTTTGAAGGGTTCATCTACCTTTTCAAGAGAGCATATGCCCCTACTGCCGCAACCGCAGCAACGGTTGCAGTGGCTGCTGCAGCGGTCGCAATGATGGGTCCTGCACCAAAGCTTGATGCTCTTCTCCTTGGAGAATCGTCCGGATCAAGCCCATCGGATGGATCTGGCGTCCTCTCTGGCACCCTCTCTGACAGGTACCTTCTCCTGCCGGGGCTCAAGTCAGCAGGGGCATGGAACGTGGGACCATCCAGGAGAAGCCCATGGGGTCTTGTCAACCCAGACGGAACGGAATCCGATTCATCCCTTACAACCCGGCTTGGGTCGATTGTCCCACGCTCCGTTTCTACCTTGAAAGCGGAGGCATCATTCAAACCTGACATCGGCTGCTGCGATTGGTTGTCTTGGCCGCTCCTGGTGCCCGCTTTGCTCGGTCGAGGCGAGAGGTGGTTGCCTATCTCCATGAATTGAGGAGGGGTCGTATGGGAAGGCGATTGGGGTCCATGAGGGGAAGGGGTCCCTGAGGATATTTCAGACCATTGTTCATTGTCGATCTTGTCCAAGTCAACATTAGTTATGGCATCCTGCATGCATAATACATCAAATGAAATGGGACAAATAATAAGAAAGTTAGAAATATATAAAAGAGAAAAAAACTGCAATTAAATGATGCAAAGGTAGATGGGGGGGGGGGGGGAAGATGGTCTCAGGCAAAATAAAAATGACCACAATTCACCATATTCAAGAAGAAAAAGAAAAATCACAGAAAGATCCTCCTTTTGGGTCTTAAGTGGGCCAGTGGAATACCTAAAATAATTTGTACCAACATCTGCAAGTTTTAATGCAGGGTACTCATAGGATCATAGCAGTTCCTTCATATTTACACTAAAACTCACTGAAGATCATACAAAGAACATCAAAGTACCTCTCACAGGTAAGTTCCAATACAAGTAGAACACTATGGGAACATATGCAGCATGTTTCCCTTCCAAGATACATACATGCCAACATTTGAAAATCAGAAATCTGTACAAATTATAATATTTTCAAAAAAAAGAGGAACAATCCTAACTCTCCTATTCAATACTACAGACAAATTTGTACAGGAAGAGGAACACCTGCATTAAAATGATAATTATCTTCTCCCAAAAAGAGGAATGTTCCTCTTTAAGCTGAACAGTTGGCATGTATGAAGATATTTAGGCTTCAATTACTGAACATTCATGTCGAAGACTTACCCAGCCGCCTTGTTCTATTATAGATTGTGCGAGGTTCTCCTCGATGTACTGTGCCGCAAAATCAGTGACGGCTGCTATACCTCTACTCCCCTGATCTAACACGTTGACTGCCATGCGTCGGGTGAACTTCATCATCACTGCAACCTGGAAGGAATCAAAGGAATGGCATCAACATCCACATGTAACAAATTTTCATGATCCAATTGTTTAAAGACCCTATCCGATGAAAATACAACTTGGTATAAATTCAAAACTGAACGAATGTAAAATACAAATATAAAGGAATAAATAAGTATTTACTCTTTCACATCTGCACAAAAGCATATTAAAACCTCTTTTTCAGCACCCCTCCAAATTACGGGTCAACAGGGGTCAAATATACCAAAGTTATGGTGACGACATAACATGTGGACGCGATCGGTCCTAGCCTACTTACGTGATACCATCCAGGCACAGAGTTCTTGACTAAACTTTTCATGCCAGATTTGAAGACACCATAGTTCATGGGCCCATCGCCGTGGCCCAAGGTTTGCTGGTAGGCCTGTTCGAGCTCATCGTGATGATGCAACATGATGCAATCCCCAATCTGGGCGATCCTCTCGGCAACGAGCGCTTCCCGACTGATGGCACAAAGGATGCCACTTGAATCCATGCCTTCATCCGACATTTCTGCAATAATCATGTGTGTGATAAATGATGGTAACAGATAGACAAGAATATGGATTTCCATTTTAGTTTACGAAAAACGATATGCTTTCAGCCCAGATATTTGTACACATTGTATTGGGGGGAGGGGGGTGAGATTTGTAAAAGTTTCATGACACAAGATCAGTGATCCTTAACAACAGTTAAATTGTGTGCAGTAATTAAGAACATTGGATTAAATGCACAATGTTTGCTTTTGTGTATACTACAACGTTTTGATAAGCTACATTAATTGACATTACTTGACGTCATGCTGGAATGCGGGCAAGTATTGAATAATGAATCCAACGACTGGGATAATAGTATATCTGTAAAACAATTAGAAACATCTGTAGATGTACATGTATTAAGCGCTATATCAAAGCAGAATATTATTATTATTATTACCTTTCTTAAACTGGTCCCCTAGTTCTGCGAGGACGTTGGTCATCTTGGCTTTAGTACTTTCATCCAGGGAGATGTCCTTGCTCCTCTTCTTTTTCAACATGAATCTCCTAGACCTGGAAGAATCTGCTAGAGCTTTAGACAGAAGAGATTTTGATGATAAAGTCATGTTTCTTGAATTATTTACACCCTGCTTACTCTCTCTGTTTCATCTTTTTTCTGACTCCTCCTCTTTTGTTACATTCTGTCTCTCCATGATGATAGATTGATGTTCTTGACAAAACTTATATCATTTTCCTCTTAATCTTTCTATCTTGTGTCTCTGTTTCTAGCTCTTACTTTTATATTCTCTCTGTCTTTTGCTATAAAAAAATATATCTTGCACTACAATTTTTCCTCTTAATCTTTTCTTTTCTCTGTTTTTTTTTTCCTTTCTTACTCTTCTGTAGTTTTCAACAACTTGCAAAATCGATTCACTTTTGCAGTTCTGTAGGTGGTATAAAGTACCATTTATAAATACATGTACATACAAATACTCCCTAATACTTTATTGGAAACAGATATCTTTGTTGCTTTTTATTTAAAAGAAGATCTGGTTCATAAATTGTAAAGATTGCGATAATTGAACACTGATTACAAGTGCCATTTAAGCTTTGTAAAAATAGAGTGTTAATTAAAATCTTGTCTAAAGACATCATATCTTTTTGTTTAGATATCTATTTTGTAATTCTTGTTGTTCGAAATGTGTATGTTTCATTCTACGACTAAAAAGAAAAGGCTTCATACTTACAAACTTTAAGAGATGGATGTCTAGGAGTGAAATTAGGTGGCGATGCACTGTACTTTGAACTCGATGCTGAAGACGTATTGGACGAAATGGCATCTCTAACCAGATCATCATTAGGTAGTTGAAACCCTTCCAGAGTGTCCTCATTGCCCAAGGCATCGACCTCAAGCCCTTTGCCTTGCAATATATCTGTAGGAGCGGTGTCTGTATGCATGAGAGGAGACTGTGCCTGCAGAGCGATTGCCGCCGTGGCGATGCGCTTGATCTGACGGAACTCTTCGCTATCCCTGCTGCAGGAGTCACTGTCTATACTAGAAGGGGTATCTTTAGAAGAAGTCCAAGAAAACAGAAAGGGGTTTGATCAGTAAGAATCAGTGAAAGTCTATAGGAACTGGGTCCTGTTTCACAAGATACAAATAATTGTTAAAGGCTACTGAAATACCACCATTAAATGGTTTTGAGCAGATCTATCCATGATCTTTTGCAATTGTTGTTGATCATAAGTTTTATGAATCAGGGCCCTGATTCAAAGTAAATCAGAAAGTTAATTCAAATTGAAAATATTGATGTAAATCTAGAGCCGATATAGAGAATGAGTATAGGGTAAGGAAGTAACTACATATTTATTTTTAACCATCCCCTTCCCCATACATACTTTTCTTTTACCTCAGACCTTTTGATGAATACCAAAAATATAAATGGATAGTAGAAGACTTTTAACGCTTTGTGTAATAATCGTGAGCGCCAGGAGGGTCAAATCTGACTGACATGAGCGCTATACAAGAACCCACTATTATTATTTTTTATTATTATATTTCTTTCAAGAGGAATTCCAACAAAAAAAATCACAAATAATTAAACTAATAACACAAATTTCTACTACCACAAAAAACAATCAGTTCAAAAGAATGTTGATAGTTCAATATTTTGTGATACATGTACTTACATTCACCACTTGTATTTGTTTTTAACTTTGTTTAATATTTTTTTTTAATTAAATATAAAAATATACATTTCAATTTTTATCAAGTACGTTTAAAGTGTGAATAGGTGTTTTTTTTTCTTTTTATTGAATTACTTAACCGTGTCAAATCATATCAATCAAACTTGAAGTCTAAAATTTTCCCATTCCCCTCTCCCTTTCTTTCTTTTCTTCTTTAACAATAATTTTTTTCTCCCCTACTTGTTTTGTTGTTTTTTGTGCCACTTGAATTTGGAATCATGTGCCCCCCCCCCCCCCCCCCCCCTCCCCCGGCCTTTAGTTATGGCACCGGATAAACACTTTCCCTCATCACAGCACCATCCTTGACTTACCTTGTGAATGTGAGCTGGATTGACTTCTCAAACCAAAGCTCATTGCGTCGTCTCCATCATCATCCAGCTTGTCATCGCTTTCGTCGACATCAGAGTCGTCCCCGATCTCCTCAAACCTTGGTAGAATGCCCAGATAGTTAAGGACGACAAATTTGGTCTCGTATTTGAACTCCTGAGGGGTCTCTGGAAGATTCGCCATGTCTGATCCTAGGTCATGAAAGAGAAGAGGTAAAAAATAAAAGCCTGTCTGCACTAGTTTGACCAGGGGGGATTAGACCTCCCTGCAAGGTCACTGACAGGATGCTATCTCATCAAATCAGCTCTCAGTTAACATAAGAAAAAAGGGATCATGGGGGACCAACAGGCACCGGTTAGGCATTGTTCGTTATATACTATATAGAGGGCGCAAATAGTGCAGTGAGGTTTTAAAAGATACGTACAGAAATCGTAAAGAGATGCATAAAGAAATTGTACCTGAGTAGTTGTCAACCGTGCGGGTACTCGAGCATTCGACTACCCGTCGCAGCCTTAATATATTGCCAGTTAATAAATACAAACATTATAAAATGAAGTCATGAAACACACGTATCGTATATTTGAGTGACTGAGTACTGTCTACTCCTCGACTTGATAAATTGAAAATGATCATATCGTTAATAGAGTAAAGGAGCCCGTTTTCGGCCACTTAAGACAAAATCCTATTTTTAGGACCCTTTACTTCCTATTTATTATCATTTTTTGTTCAAATCATGAAGCAAATATTATTATTATTTAAACAAAAAAAGAATCCCAGAAAAAAATCACGAATTGCCATGACAATATTCATTTCAATTTGCACTGTTGTGGAGCCAGTTATCTGCCGAGCGTTTCAGTTTACGGCCGCATGTACAAAGTCAATAGGAAGCGCTCGCGCGCGCCGTGCGTTTCCGCGCTGATGTACAGCACAAGCGGGCGGAGCAGGTATCCCACGCCGGAGCTCCCTGGTGCTCGCCTGGCCGAAGACAGGCACAGCGGTGATCGGAAGTTGGAATCTGAATTAGAAAGACATATCGTGTGTGCGTGGCAGGGTCCGGCTGCATTGATTTAATACATGCGATGAGATACTTTTGAGCTTGCGACTAACACAAAATCGGACTCTAAATCTGAAAAATACTTGAAATAAAGCTGATTTTATGGTACCCATATTTCTTACATACACGCGTAAGAAACTCGATTTTTCAGATTTGGGTAGCGGGACCGCCGATTACATCGCTAAAATGTGATATTTTAGGATATATTTTCCATTGCAAATGTGGTTCTTCAGTGACTCTGGCATGGTATGGTATGTGTGGGATATGTGTTGTGCTATTATGCGATGTATTTTAGAGAGATTTTACCTTCATCCAACCAATCGGCCGAAAACTGGAGCTGGCCGATTACGGGCTCCTTTAGGCTTTACTCTAAATTGGCTTTAAAAAGATGAATGACATACAGCATTACGCCATTGCAGACAGGTATCAAATGGGCAGCATATTCAGCATATGGGGGAAAGGATTAACATAAATCTTCTTTTACTCCTCAGAGTCAGACTCGAGTTTCTCCAAAAAAAATGAATTGATAAGTTAATCTTAAAAATCAAATTTAAAACAAAAATTAAATGGGGGTGGGGCGAAGCTAAAAAAGTGTATTACATAAACTGCACAAAACAAAAGGGCCATAAAACCTTACAACTCATACCCTTATATAAAGGGTTGATTGAAGCTGATCAAGTCTAATTTAGGGAGAAAATACAGCCAGCATCCATTTGCACAGAGTGCTCACTCAGGGGTCACACGAAATGGTACGGGTGGGACAACACTCTGGCAGTATCGCTACTCAAATGCGTACAAAGTACATGTACATGTACAAGCAGAATTCGGAAGAGGAAGTCAAGGATACGTCTGTAATTGTATGATAGACTGTATCACGATAAAAGAATCCATTACCAACGTGAAAAAAATGTGTTTCTAGAATTACATAAGGTTTATAGTAATTCTTAAAATAAAAAAACACTTCACTTAGCGTAAAATAAAAGAGAATTACTAACCAATTTGTGGGAGGTCGGCTTGAAATTTCCCTTCAAAACAAAAATTTCTTCTCGCGACTAGTCTTGATTCAAGGATTGAATAAATATATTTATTCTCTCTCTCTCTCTCTCTCTCTCTCTCTCTCTCTCTCTAGCTCTCTCTCTCTCTCAGTCTCTCTCTCTCTCTCTCTCTCTCTTCCTCTCTCTCTCTCTCTCTCTCTCTCTCCCTCTCTCTCTCTCTCTCTCTCTTTCTTAACATATATTTCTCTTCACCGACAGATTGGTCTGTTTTCAATTTCAACAGAATTGATTTGCTGTCGATTAACATGATGACAGCTTAAATAAAAATTAAATCGCATAGGCTCAAAGTAAGCTATGTCCCAACGCATTGTTCTCTGTTTTCGGTTTCGTATTGAAGCTGTGACGTCATAAAAATCTATTTTTTGGAATTTCTCATTTTTTTCTTCATTTTCCGAAAGAGCATCAAAAATAATGTCCAAATGTGGTAAACCAATTGAATATATTAAGTATTGGCTGAGATATGACCAGAATGAATATGGGGAACTCAGTGTTATTATGCTCTGGCTCCTATATGGTTAGGAGCCAGAGCATATAACACTGAGTTCCTATTGGAAATCTTTTGTGATAAACAGCAACCAGATCTGTAAAACATAACGTCAGACATTTACAAATAACATGAACTTTACTTAACGATTATGATAAGTTAATTCATATCATAGCCGGGTATTACAGGCGTGCGAGACAAGTGTTTAGGGGGTGGGGGCGCAGTCTTCAAAGAATGTTGATGATATGAATAATAATAAACTGAGCAAGGTGCATCAGCCTCCCTTCCCTCTTTCCTTCCCCCCCCCCCCCCCCCCCCCACTTCACAAATATTTGCACACAATGCATGCAAAAGTTGGCTCATAGTCATTATGGAACATGAAATAGGCAGGGATGCTAATGGAGAAAGTGCCAAAACAGAAGAATTTTCAGGGTCAAGGACTGTTAATGTTTGTTAAGAAGTTATTGCATCCGCCTTCGACAAGTACACAGAGACAGGCACAGTTAAACTCGAATTAAATTCTTTATTGCAGAAAAAAAAAATCTGAATTGAAAGAATTATAATCAGAGAAGAATAAAATACGTAAGTAAAACACGCTCTCATATACCACACATAGGTCTATCTGTATGCACAGACGTTTTTTTATAATTTTTTTTGTTATACTGCAAACTAAACCATAAATATTTCTGTAGGCCTTTAATGCACTCGATTTAATTAGGAGGTAGTAGTAATTAATGTTTTCGGCACTGTGTACAAGCCGAACCGATTCGCAGTGCAAGGTTTAAATTAATGTCGATTGTTTTGCCGCCGTTCAATTAAGGAAATGATTTATGACCATTTGTGTGGACATAATTACGTCACGCAAGTAAGGAAGAGGGAGGAAGGGAAGGTGGAATATTAAACTGTATAATGAGAAGAAAAGGAGAAGGAAATAGAAGAACAAGCAAGAAAAAAAAGGTTTATTGTTTAAAATTGAGTTTAGGGAGAGAGAGGGAGAGGGGAAAGCGATTGGGAGCTAGGTAATAGAGAGAGAGAGAGAGAGAGAGAGAGAGAGAGAGAGAGAGAAAGTGTGTGTGCGTGTGTGCGTGTGTGTGTGTGGGTGTGGTCGTGTGTGTGTGCGCGTGTGTATGCGTGTGTGCTTGAGTGTTTGAGTGTGAGAGAGAGAGAGAGAGAGAGAGAGCGAGAGGAGAGGGGAGATACAGATGGAGAGGCGGAGAGAAAGGGTGGCAAGACCTGCACTTGCTACTCTTCACCCAGGTGTTAAATGTGAACCCGGTAGGATGCGACCGTCATTGTTGGTCAAACAGTTTTGAGCATCAAGTAACGCCTGGCTGGATGCTCCCCAGGGAGTGGAGATTGTGCACACAGTGTGTGCAGGCAAGCACTGAATCCAATGCCCGGGGTAATAGTATATATTTGTAAAGCGCTTAGAGACATTTGTGATAAGCGCTTTATAAAAGCTAAATATTAGTATTATTATTATTAAACCAGAATAAAAAATATTTTATTAAAACAGAAAGTGGAATCAGAATATAAGAACAACGACAGGGTCCTGCTCTGAAGCCATATAAGGAGAGGGCGGTTTAGAGATAGAGACAGAGTGAGAAAGAGGGACAGAGAGAAAGAGTCACTTAGAGAGAGAGAGAGAGAGAGAGAGAGAGAGAAAGAAAGAGAGAGATAGAGGGACAGAGAGAAAGAGAGACACAGAGAGAGAAAGAGAGAGAAGGTGAGAGAGGGAGAGAGAGAGATCGAGAGAGGGAAAAAGGGGTTTCAAATATAATTTTATTAGGAGAGAATGAAAACGTGTCTCGGAGAGAAAAAGGAGAAGAGAAGGAGAGAGATAGAGAGACCAGGGAGGTGGGAGGACCTCCCTGGAGAGACAGACAGAGAGAAAGAAAGAGAGGCGTACAGTAATGTTAAGAGGAGAGAGAGAGAGAGAGAGAGAGAGAGAGGGGGAGGTGGGGTCGACTACGACCTTAAGTGGACGATCGAGAGAAAGTTAATAGGCTTGCGCACATTGTTTTGTACTTGTAGAGGAATTCAATTTAATGAAAACAATTAATTGCACCGTATAGAGTGCTATCATATTATTTTACGACTTTTACCTTGGATCTAATTCGTGGACATCGGTGAAAAGAAGTCGTTAAAATTTCACGTCCATGTAAATAACCCATCAATTTTATCCAACTACATCCTTCAATAATGATATCACTCACGGTCCACGAAGTTATCATCAAAACATCATCTGCTACAGAAACAGCGATTGAAGGCTCTATTTTATGGGTGTGCTGTTATATGCGCACGGAAACCACAAATAATATTGTTTGACGTATTCAGTAAACTGGCAACATTGAACAGATAATATCAAACATGCTTATATTTATCAACCTTCAAATGATTTTAATAACATGCGATAGTACACGTATGATAATTAATCATCTTATCTGTTTACGACCATCAAAATAGGATTGCACAAATATTTCAAAATGAAATAATTTTAATTTGGTTCAAGTAAAGTCTGTTTATATTTTCTAACCTTCAAATGATTTACTAAAATACGATAATAGATGTAAGATAATTAATTATGTTATCTTTTTACGACCAACACATTTGGATTGCATAAATATTTCAAACTGAAATAGTTATAATTTGGTTAAAATGAAGCCCGCATTGCTTGATTAAGGGGAACAAAAACAATATTTACAACTGATTAAAATTTCCATATACTTTTTCTCTATTTTTGGCATCTCTCAAGCATGTCAGGAAAAAAGAAGTCCTCCTAATATAATGGTGTTAACTATAATAGTAAACACCATTATATACATAAGTATGTTCAAGCCAATGGCTCGCTTCTTAAGAATGGCACAGACCATTTCAAGAATATTTTCTAATATTAGACATACCTCTCATACATTAATTATACTATTTACAAGTTTTAAATGAATTCATTCAACTTCAACTTTGACTTTAATTTTACAAGACTAGTGTTTAAACTTTTTCCTTTTGAGGTCAGAATCCCATCCGGCACAAACGTCCTTTGGCAAGACACATTTGCCACCCAGGTGTAAATGGATATACCTGGCAATTGCTGGGGTAATTATAATCATAATTACAGGGCCCTCAGAAAGAATAGCATTAGTGCTTATGAGGCTTCACTAGGTAAACAAAACTACTACTGTACTACTACTATAGTAGTAGTAGAAGTAGTAGTAGTAGTAGTAGTAGTAGCAGTAGTACTGGTAGTATAGTAGTAGTAATAGTAGTAGTAGTAGTAGTAGTAGTAGTAGTAGCAGTATAATGGTAGTAGAAGTAGTAGTAGTAGTAGTAGTAGTAGTAGTAGTAGTAGTACTCTCTTTTAAAAAACGAGTGAATTTTCACTCTATTTTCACTTTCTTGGGAGTGACGTCCGTGATCACTTGTTTAGGAGTGAAAATCGATTGATTTTAGAGTGCTCTCTAAGAAGAAAAGAGTGAATGTTCACTCTATTTTCACTACATTTTCACTCTCCAGAGGAGTGACGTCCGTGATCACTCGATTTTTTTTAGAGAGTAGTAGTAGTAGTAGAAGTAGTAATATTTGATAGATATTGCGTGACAACATTATGTGGCAGTGTAAAGATGACAAGATGAACAGATGAACCAGGGAACTGGATGAACAGACGAATCCCATCGAATACAAAGTAAACTTTTTCTAATATACAAATTCTTGTCGTAAACCGTTATCATAGAAGATTCAAGGTGTGTGATCGAACCAGATCGAGAGACATGGGATGTCCAAAGTAAACTTACATCCCACAAGACCGACATTGCCAGTCTATAGTACCCTCAGAAAAAGATGTCGGAATGCCCGCCAGATCGGAGTTCCGAATACCCGGCCCTTGGACTATCCGTCTCTTTGGCACTGTTGACCGTCAATCTCTTGGATCCTGGGATACCTTTTTTTTTTACTCAGAAAAGCGCAAGAGCAAAATTCTCGATTAAGCCCCACTGTCCTACTTGTAGCTACTTGCTCCCTCTATATAGGAAACTTCCCCAATCGGTGCATGTTGGTCCCCCATGATCCTCTTTTTTTAATGTTAGTTGAGAGTTGAGTTAATGAGATAGCCACCTGTCAGTGACCTCGCTATGTGGTCTAATCCCTTCTGGCCCGGTAGTATTGACGGTCTTTAAAGGGGCTGTCGTCCGTGCGCTGTATCCAAGATGAACCTCAAAAAAGGACAGCTCTTCATTTCGAATTACATTTATATTATACACACTATGCATTTCAAAATGCTTACAATTACTAAATTAAATGTTCTTAATTGAACACAGGGCACATTAAATTGTTAGCGCACCCTTTCATAATATTTGCAGTTTCTGTCGCGAATAAATTTAGTCTCCGGCACGATGCTTGAATGATACAAGCTAAGTTGGCAGATTAGTGGACTGGTGATCCCATGTTGGGTCCTCAGGTTGAATGATGCGCAATGCCCATCTGACTGACATGCCATCGCGCATTTGATGAAGTTGTCAACGGACACCATTCTCAGTGTCAGCT